CTAAAACCCAAACCATTTGAAGTCCAGAACCCTAACTTAGTCCATTAATGCCCATAATTCTTGAAATTGCAAGCTTCTCGAAACCAGATGTTACATCTTGGCCGGCGGACGGTAAGCAACATTGATAAGGGTTAGTTGCTAAAGTAGTTCAACTATGTTGATATCCAAAGTTGAAGCGAACCTGTTAAAGAGGGTCTGCTAATATGTATAGATATAAATATCTTCAGTCTGAAGTTGTTGGTCCAAGAATCCTTGATATGTCGATAACTGATCTAAGGTTGGTCTGTTGACCTTGATTAGGTGGACACCATAAATGAGTGGAATAAAATAAACATTATTGTTATCATTAATGAGTAGATGTATTTAGAAGCATAAGATTTGAAGCATTTAAAATTCAAAATTAAATGTATCTTCTATTTGTTCTTCGAATATAATCTTTGAATATTCACTTACATGAAGAAAATTCATGGATATGATAATACGCTCTTCATGAAGTTAGAGATAAAAAGGTTTGGGTTCGATTAGGCTATGTTAGATTCAGAATGGTAGAAAGGTAAAGGTGTGAGTGAAGTGAAGTCAAATGTAGGCTTGAATTCTTGGGGTAGTGAGTTAAGGGTGAAGGTTGGTTTAATGAGAAGCGAGTAGTAGGGAGTTAACAAGGAGGTGGTTGGTGGAAGAAGTGTAGGGTGTAGGATTATCTGAAGAAAAGGGGAGGAGGTGAGTGCTTCACATTAGTTGGAAGGATAAGGGGTGGTAAGATAGAAGGTATGATAAGAGATGGTGGGTCCAAATAAAAAAGGTATTTCGTTTTATTTTATCAAGAAAAAAAGGATAAGGCCGAAGTGGGTGACGTAGGTAAGTCTTGTAAGAAAACGGGTATAAAATTGGATTGTGGGGTCGTTCATATGTGATGAGGGTAAGGGGTAGGTTAAATAAATTTAGGGATTCAATTGGTGAGTGTTGTTGGCTATGGTACCCAAAGCGAATGAAATGAGCAAAATTGGATCTTGGGGGTTAAAGGGTGAAAACTTGCATGGGGTAGGTCCGGTTGCAAGTGTGTGTCAAGTAGAAAGCATGTACGTGGACTTATACAAGGGATAATGCAATTACATTTAAACTTAATCTTTCATACTTTTAGATCAAACCCAATGAGGTGTCGACTCCTCATTGGCCCGAAAAAATCATGTCTTTCACTCTCATAAATTAATAGCTTTAAGCAAAAGCTATTGATAGACATTTGACAATCCATACTTGTTCATTTAAGATATTTTTTACAAAAACCAACCATATCTTAGAAACATTGTCATAAGAATTTGAGTTGAGAATTTAAGAAATGTTTATCTAAAACTAAAAAAACATGAAGATTGTTAGCTAATCGAAATCTTTCCTCATATAAAATGAGTATAGCTATATATCAATAAGAGGAACCCATTTTGGTTGGCTAGGTATGGAATAATAAATATCAAGAAGATAATATGGTACATAAACCGATAAACAATAATGTGTCGAATGACAGTTTCATAGAAATAAGAAAATATTACATGAAAAATAATTGTTAGGTAATGGAATTTGTAGCCACACTCTCTCTAATCTAAAAACCATATTTTTGGAGTTCTCTAAAGATAATAATGCTTTACCATACATGACTAGCTTTCATCTCTATTTAAAGGAGGGGAGAAAATTTTACTTTACACTAAGGAAATATCATAACCTAGTTGTCACTCATCATTGTAAAGCATTTCCTATTGTAATAAGGCCTATATCTAGAAGCATGCGTCTGGTCTTCTGCTCCTAAATTTTAATATGTTTTATTAAATTTTCTACACCAATTTATGATTTTTATTACGTAATCTTACTTTTGTATTAACAAAATCAACAAATTCTATTAGTTGATAGTTTCATTGTGCTTTAATCCTCGTTGGCTTTTCCAACTTAGTGTCACAAAGTCATATATGTTTGGTAAATGGACGCAAATCTCTTAATGTGAGCAATGAGCCAAATTTTCGTTCTGCAAACTCATTTTATTTTGTAGCTTCCCTTTTTAATTTGAAGTAATGATGCCACATTGAATACTTAGATTGCCATTGTTTATTATTCGAAAATCTCCATTTGACTTGTTCAATGTGCTTGGAATATGTTCTATCACATTCTTGTGTAATGATCAAGGTTGATGCCAAGGAAAAAATCTTGCATGAATGTGCAAGTGGTTGATTTTTGTTAGATATTATTAATATTAATATTATTATTATTATTATTATTATTATTATTATTATTATTATTAGCGTATCCCTTTTATTGATCGGCCCTTTATCTTAAGAGGCCTTATACATTGTATTTGTATATATATGTTTGATTTAATGAAAGTATATTCATGGGAAAATATCATGTTCAAATGGTATCAGACTAGGTTCCTTAACCGTGGCCGTATCCCTTTTCCTCTGCTCTATCTTTTTAGTTTCTCCTTTGTTCCCTCTGCTCTCGTTTCTGTCTTTTCCCTATTCTCTTCAATCATGACTGGAGAAACCCCTCTTAATACTGAAAAGCCATCCACTACCATCAATATCAAACATGTTGTGCCTCTTGTTTAGGATCTTGATCGAATGAATTATAACATATGGAGGGAATTTCTCGAAACTCATTGCATTGGTTTCGGTGTTGATGATCATCTCCGACCTCCAAACGAGAAGGTTGCCACCTCTACTGAATGGAATCGCCATGACTTCATTGTCAAGTCATGGATTAACATCACTCTTTCTCAATCTCTCTTAACAATGGCCCTCAATAAAAAGTGTGTTGCATATGTTCTTTGGAACACTCTTGAGAATCTCTTTCGTGATAACAAAGAGAACAAAGCTCTTTATCTTGAAACTCAACTCAGAAACATCACGATTGGCGATTCTTCGGTAACTAATTATTGCACACGGATCAAATCCATTGCTGATCTACTTCAAAATCTTGATGCCCCTGTACTTGAAAGAAACTTGATTGCTTACACTCTCAATGGCTTGTCCCCCAAGTTTCAATATGTCGCCACCACCATCAGGTATCAAAAACTAAAACCTTCTTTTATGGAGGTTTGATCTATGCTTGTTATGGAAGAAGAAGAAGAGATGCTTCGTGAACCACAGAAACAAGGTTCCCTTCCTCATTCTGATCATTCTTCTTCCCCACAAGTTCTTGCTACCAAGAAAAAATCATTAACATTCCAATCACGGGAGAGGTTCCTCTCGTAGTGGCAGGGGTCGTCGGAATAATCGTGGTGGTCGTGGGGTCGTGACAGTGGAGGCCAAATTTTTTTGGTGGCCATTTGTAACAACGAAAACAGGTACACCCACCTGCGGGTTAGGTCTATGGACTGTATCAACCAACAGCTACAATAGTGCATTCCATTCGTGGGCTGTTTCATGCTCCTGTAGATCCATTCCAACAATCTTCCAGCGGCCCAACAACTCAGCCCAACAAAAAATATTTTTTCTTTGGCCCACTAGCTTCCTCCACTCCTCAACAAGCTTTTATCTCTCAAAATTAGGCCCAACAGCACCCTCAATTCACTTATTAGCAGCCCACAACACTTCCTCAAATGTTCAACGCAATGATAGTTTAACATTCGGGAAATACGGAATGGTATATTGACACCGGGGCCACCTCTCACCTTTATGCAGGTATAATTCTAAATGTTTCTAATAATCATAATTTTCCTTCTACTATTTTAGTTGGAAATAGATCTTCAATTCCTGTAAATAAAGTTGGTCATTTCTATTCTTTCCAAACCCAATCCATATCGCACTCTTACTCTAAAAATATTCTTATCACGCCTCAATTCATTAAAAACCTTATTTCCGTTCGTTCTTTCACATGTGATAATATGTGCTCTATTGAATTTGACCCACTTGGTTTTTCTGTGAAGGATTTACAAACCAAACGAACTCTCATGTAAAGTGACATCACCAGGGATCTCTATCCGGTCACCTCTCCTACTTTTCAAGATCTTGTTTCTGTTGCTCCATTTGTTCGGCATCAACGTCTTGGTCACCCCGATCCTCAAGTCTTAAAGCAACTTATTGACAATCATTTTATTATGTGTTCTAATAATAAGTTTCATAGTTTATTTGGATCATGTCCACTTGGAAAACATGTCAAGTTATCTTTTAGCTTATCAAATTCTGTTTCTAATTCTCCGTTTGATATTATTCATTCTGATGTGTGGACTTCTCCTATTACTAGTGTTAGTGGAATCAAATATTATGTCATATTTTTATATGATTTCTCTCATTATTTGTGGGTATATCCTTTCCGTGTGAAATCTGATGTTTACTCTAAATTTGTCCATTTCCGTGTGTTTGTGCAAAATCATTTTCAAACGGACATCAAAATCATTCAATGTGACAATGGTGGTGAGTACAAAAAACTCAAATTCCAACAATTATGTCATGACAATGACATTCACATGCGTTTTTCATGTCCACACACATCTCAACAGAACGGAAAATCTGAACGCATGTTACACTCTATTAATAATGTCGTTCGGACTCTTCTTTTTCACGCCTGTCTTCCTCCAGAATATTGGGTAGAAGCTCTTCACATGTATGAACATCTCTTAAATATTCTACCATCCACCACCATTCAAAATGATACTCCATTTCGCAAATTATTTCAAAAAAATCCCACCTATGATCACCTTCGCGTGTTTGGTTGTCTTTGTTTTCCAAACATTGTCGCTCCTCACAAACTCTCTCCTAGATCCACCCCTTATGTTTTTCTTGGCTACCCATCCAATCAAAAAGGTTATTGATGTCTAGACCTTCAGACAAAGCAAATTATCATCTCTCGGCACATTGTCTTTGATGAAACTGTCTTTCCCTTCGGGTCTATGACTCCGATGATACTCCTTCTTATTCCTTTTTAGATCATGTGAGCCCTCCTATTATTGAATCTCGTTCCTCGACCTCTCCCATTACCAAGGACCCTATAATCAGCGATCTCCCTCTGCTTTCCTCATTATGCAAACTCATACCGTCTTGTCTTCCGCTCCCACTCTCGAGGAGGTGTCTCCTCTCGAGCCCTCCTCTCCTACTGCTATGTCGGTTTCTGACCCTTCCATCATGGTTGTCCCGACTACTCATATGTCTGCCACATCTCACACTCCTCACCCCATGGTCAGCCATCTCAAACGTGGAATTAAAAAAACACCTCATAAGAAACTAAATCTTCATGTTGATTCCACTTCTCCTATTCCTCGCATTTATTTATTGGCATTTAAAGATCCTAACTGGTTAAAGTCAATGAAAGAGAAACATTGTGCTCTTATTAAAAACAAAACGTGGGTTCTCATACTGCGACAATATGGTGCTAATATTATTAATTGCATTTGGTTATTTAAAAAAGAAACTTAATATGGATGGTACGTTGTCTCGATACAAAGCTCTTCTTGTTGCAAATGGTCGTAGCCAGAGACCTACCATTGATTGTGCTGAGACTTTTAGTCCTATGGTAAAACCTGCTTCTATTCACATTGTTCTGAGCATTGTTGTCACACTCATTGGCCTATCCGACAGCTTGATGTGAATAATGCTTTTCTTCACGGTCACCTTGATGAGACGATTTATATGCAGCAACCACCAGGGTTTCGTGATCCAAACAAACTTGATCATGTTTTTCTTCTTCAAAGATCTTTATATGGGCTCAAATAGGAACCTCGGGCATGGTTTCATCACTTTTCTATGTTTATTACTCGCCTTGGTTTTACTAACAACAAGTGTGATCCTTCCTTGTTTATTTACAAACAGGGCGCTCATATAGCTTACTTGCTATTGTATGTGGATGATATTATTCTTATGACATCATCACCTGAGCTTCTCACCAATATCATTCAATTCTCGGATCTGAATTTGACATGACAGACCTTGGAGATCTTTATTATTTTCTTGGTATTTCTGTCACGCGTGCGCACTGCTAACAGGTTGTTTTTGTCTCAACAAAAATGTGCCGATGGCATTCTTGACCATGCCTCCATGGCTAACTGCAAACCGGCTTCTACTCTTGCTGACTTATCTGCTAAGTTTGATGGGTCTGGGTCTATCGTTCATGATCCGACTTTATATCGTTGTCTAGCTGGTGCTCTTCAATATCTCACATTTACTCATCTGGACATCACTTATGTTGTTCAACAGGTATGCCTCTATATGCATGATCCCTGAGAACCTCATTCCACTGCTTTGAAACACATTTTACGGTACATTCGTGGCACCACTTCTCATGGACTTCAGATATACTACTCTCCCTCTCGTGATATTATTGCATACTCAGATGCTGACTGGGTTGGATGTCCCGTCACGAGGTGCTCCACATCCAATTATTATGTGTTTCTTGGTCATAACCTTCTATCCTGGTCATCCAAAATGCTAGAGTATCTACAGCTCCAGTGTCGTGACTGAGAATCGTGGGGTTGCCAATGCTCTTGCTGAAACCTGATGGCTTCGTAACTTACTTCTTGAGCTACACTATTCTCCATATCGTGCTACTCTTGTATATTGTGATAATGTTAGTGCAGTATACATGTCTTCCAACCCGGTTCAACATCAACAGACTAAACATATTAAGATAGACCTCCATTTTGTTTGCGATAAAGTTGGTACTAGTCATGTTCGAGTACTTCATGTTCCATCCAAATCTCAATATGCAGACATCTTCACCAAGAGTCTTCCTTCGGCGCTATTTCTTGATTTCCGGTCCGGTTTGAACGTTTGTGATCCTTTCCCCGTTCCAAATGCGTGGGTGGGGGCTAGGGGACTTAGATCTTATTATTATTATTATTATTATTATTATTATTATTATGTTGTATTTTTAGTGTAGCCCTTTTATTGATCGGCGCTTTATCTTAAGAGCCACTGTCTCGAACCATGGTACCCAACCATGCTATCTTCCCTGACCAGTCCTTAGAATCTCCGAAATTCTACATTGTATCTGTATATAAATATTTGATTTAATGAAAGTATCTTCATGGGAAAATATCACGTTCACAATTTTTGTATATATACATTGTATTTGTATTATGTTTTATTTTTAGTTACATAGGAGGCTTACCAACAAAATAATCCCTTTTCTTGTTTTCAATCCAATCCTTCACAGACACTAACAGAGGACAAACCTTTTTTTTTATTTTTATGAAGAGCTTTATAACTGGAATCAATTATATTGCTTTGATGTTAGATTACTAAATTTCTCTTTTGGTTGTTTCCTATTTAAGGGTCTAGAATTATGTATCCTCCTAACATATGCTTGAACTTAAAACATGCAATCTATCTATTTATTGCTTTTGCTAGACATTTGTCGAGTCTCAACCATCTCGTAGGACATACAAGTAGTGAAGTGGCAATAGGAAAGGATCATCATTTTGAAAATATTATATTTAAAGATTTATCAATGAGTGTAACAAACACTCAAGTAGAGTTATACGTCATAGAGTTATGTGAGAAGCTCATTGTAGTCTACTGCTCCCATTACCTCAAGTTGAAGAAAAATTCTTTTATTTTTTGGATCACGAGGCTTTAAGGTACACTATTTCTAACATAAACTCAGTCTAATTCATGACAATTGGGTAGAGTTTCTTTAAATGAACTTCTTTGTGTCTATGCACAAATCTTGTTCCTCATATATGGTGATCGATGCTCTATGTAAGCATTATAAGACTTTGATCCTATTCTACATTCTTTAGAAAGTGCATCTAATGGTTCAAGATGAGATTCTCTTAATAATACCTAATTATACATCTTAATAGGCTTGATCTGATACTTTTTTATAAGAGAAGCTCATGGAAGATTTTCTAGTTACTTTCGCAATACAAAAACTTGGGAGATCTTGAACGAGCATTCCATTTCCTATGCATGGTAAAAGATTTTTATATTCCTATTGCTTGTTTTCCACCTACATCAAGTTAAGTCTACTTCATAAAGGTTTATATAATCCTCTTCATATCCCAAATCAGCCTTAGCAAGATCCGAGTATGGATTTCATTGTGACATTATGCAAACTTGGAGGGGGAGAGGATGCTAAATTGGTGGTTGCAAGTCGTTTCCTTTCAAATATACCATTTTCCAGACCAACCCGATTCACACTATTTTTCAAGACTCATGAGGGATTCATTGTTGCAACTTATTTATAGTGTAGATAATACCCCTTGGTAGGATCCCAAGAGCATCTAATTTGAGAGGGTCTACATTGGAAGACTTTATGAAGCTATTGGACATTAGAACCCTATTTAGCACTTCTCAGTATCTACAAACCAATAGGCATAAAAAGTGAGTAATAATACAAAGGGACATTCATTCCATTCCTTTGGCAAGTACTTGGTGCGTGTAAATTGAGTTCATGAAAAAGTAGATGATGTACTCCTATTGTCTCAGAAGGTGTTTTGAGGTAAATCTTAGTTTTTCATTACCTATGAAGATGTTGCTCTCTATATTGCATCAAATGTATGAAAAATTGTGTAAAAGGCCAAGTACTATCTATGTACTTATTTATCTATGTGCTCCATGTGCGCAACAACTTGATGTGTTCTAGATGAAGAAAGGTTGGATTTTGTATTTTGTTGTCAATGAGATACGGTCATCATTAATTGCAACATTGTTAACATCTCTTCTTATTTCCTTTAAGACTCTGATAAAGATGATGTATTCCACAACGAATCTTACCATTAAGGTATTTTAAAATAATGCATCTTACATTTTTACAGGAAGATCTTTACTACCCTCACCCAGTCGTCCAGGACATATTGTGGGCAGCTCTTGACAAGTTTGTGGAGCCTATACTCATGAGATGGCCTGGGAAAAAGTTGCGAGAGAAGGCTCTTCGCACTGCAATGGAACACATCCATTATGAGGATGATAGTACTCGCTATATATGCATAGGGCCTGTAAACAAGGTAAACAATACCATTATAATCTAATCCTTATATTTGGAAATAAGTTGTGCGTGGGTTCATGATTTTGATTTGATATATGGAAAGCCTTCCCTTTCTAATGATCTAATCTAAAACCTTTTCTTCAGGTGTTAAATATGCTCTGCTGCTGGGCAGAAGATCCAAACTCAGAGGCTTTCAAGCTACACCTCCCAAGGATACATGATTATCTTTGGCTTGCTGAAGATGGCATGAAAATGCAGGTTTAACCATCTTAATTACTTTGATTAAATTTGATTTGTTCTGTCTGCACGTATTAGTATCAGAGTGTAAATGAATTTCCATCATCTAACCCACCCAGGGTTACAATGGTAGTCAACTTTGGGATACCGCATTCACCATTCAAGCAATTATTTCTACAAACCTCATCGAAGAGTTTGGTCCAACACTGAAAAAAGGACACATGTTCATAAAGAAGTCACAGGTACTGAAAGATACATACGACGTTCAACTTTTGAACCATGTGACATTGGTTATCCTTGTTTCTTCTTAACTGCTTCAATTCCTTTTGTTTCAATCATCACAGGTGTTGGATAACTGGCCTGGCGATCTTGATTATTGGTATCGTCATATTTCAAAAGGTGGATGGCCTTTCTCAACAGCAGATCAAGGATGGCTCATTTCAGATTGTACTGCAGAAGGGCTCAAGGCAACTAACTATTTATCATATACAAGTTGACCATCCATTCTATTGCTTCTGTTTTGTTCACCATTAACACACCTTATTTTCTTGTTATTAGGCTGCACTCTTGCTTTCAAAATTGCCATCAGATATTGTTGACGAGCCATTGGATGCAAAGAGATTTTATGATGCTGTCAATGTTATTTTATCTTTACAGGTAATGATTCGTATTGTGAAAACCTTGTGCCCCACTGGTGTTCGCTTGTATTTGTGTTTTGTGTGGTGAATATTACACTACTATTAGCATCTTTATTGTTGTCTGTTGAATTATTTTGAGCATAACATGGATCTAAATCCTTCTGAATGTCTGAGAAGTTAATTTCATTATATCGATGCAGAATTCAGATGGTAGTTTTGCAACATATGAACTGACAAGATCCTACAGCTGGTTGGAGGTACCCATGCGCTTCTTAATTAAAATGATTGACTGTAACCACCGACTATTATCACACTCCCTATTAATAATTATTTAGTTTATTAGATTGCTATTGGTGCTTTCGGCATCCTTGAAAAACTGCTATGACCACTCCAAATGACACGAATACTCTTATGGATACCAAACCATTCTAAACGAAACAGTTGATTTTAGACTAACCTTCCCGTATGCACATTTATACACACCTCATTTCCCAATAAAAATGTGATGTAGTTACAATAATTTAATTTTTATCACCAGAAATCATTTAATCTGACATTTATATATGTTTTTATAACCCCACTTTCAGTTGATCAATCCTGCTGAAACTTTTGGTGACATTGTCATTGACTACCCGTAAGATATCATCCGTACCTCTTTTCTGAATCTTTTTGTTAAGTTGGGAATCTATAAGGCTTGTTTACCAATTTGATATGATCTCTCAGATATGTAGAGTGTACTTCATCTGCAATTGATGCTCTGGTGGCATTTAAGATATTGTACCCTGGGCATAGGCAAGAAGAAGTACAACGTTGTATTGATAAAGCTGCCGCCTTTATCGAAAAAATACAAGAACCAGATGGTTCATGGTTTGTTTTTCACCTTATTGTTATAGTTATAGAATCCTATGTGCATTCTTTTATATATATGCCATGCTCTCGGGTACTTCATTGGTAATGCACAGTTTATGCTAAAGAAAAATTTATGCACATGCAACTTTGCCAATCTAGAATTTGATTAAAACGTTTTACAAAATGTTGACTAGGTACGGTTCCTGGGGAGTTTGCTTCATATATGGCACATGGTTTGGAGTGAGAGGATTGAAGGAACTTCTCTAACTGCTTGAGCATTCGCAAGGCCTGTAACTTTTTATTGTCTAAGCAACTTGCTTCAGGGGGATGGGGAGAGAGCTATCTCTCTTGTCAAAACAAGGTAAAACTGAAATTCAGTTAATAAGTGAATACAAATGTTAAAACTGAATTATTTCTATTAGTCCACGCTTTCATCAATATGTTAATGTTTTCTATGTAGGTGTATACCAATCTTGAGGGGAATCGATCTCACGTTGTAAATACGGGATGGGCTATGCTAGCTCTCATTGATACTGAACCAGGTATAAACCCAAATTCACTGCCGATCTTTATCATTTTATTTTATCTTTCTGATGTTTTTTCAAGTTGAATTAAAATGAAGAAAGCAAAAGAAAATGTTCTCAATCATGCAGAGAAAAAAGTGTATGTTAAATCTAAATATTCCAATAAATTTAGAAAATGACCATGGCATCGAAGAATAAAAATTACCAAATAAGATCCAAGGTTTATGGAATGCCCTAATAGAACGAAAACTCGGTTGTATAGGCCTAATTATAAGGTATCTCATAAAATAGCTTATTAAATACTTGTTTCCTATAGTAGCTTCTAACATCATGTGTTCCTAAACTTCCCTACAAGCTAGTGAATATATGTTTTCATTCCTAGCTTCGACACAAACTTCTTAAAGTCAGAGTTACTTAGTACCTTTGTAATAATATAAGCAACATAAACATGGTAGAATAGCAATCATACCATTTCGTTGTCAAATCATCAAGGATGATTTGTGGCTCAAGTAGCTTCTTCCTTAGCCATCTACCAGAATTCGGTCCCTAGCTTCTGAAATATCGACACTTCATTATGCTCATTGATCCCTTGGATGCTATACCAAGAAACCGCATTTTGTTTCATTTTCTCAATATAATAAGGTTTCCGTTGATAAAAGGTGTGTTATCACGAAGTTGATCTTCCATCAATCATTGATTGTAAGTCAAAGTATTAGACCTATGGTTCTTTGATATATAGCATTGGACTCTATAAGCTCCTAGTAAATAGAGTGTGCGTAATGGCATATAAAACTACATAGGAGCTGCCTACATGTTCTCCACGTATTTAGTGATTTTAAAATTGTCATAGGCGGAAGTTATGTTAGAGATGATGTGTACTTCAAATCTAGAGTACTTGTCATTTTCAGGTACCGCTAGTACTCTACTTACTTCCTTCCAGTGTTTCATACATGGATTGACAATATACCGTCTCAGCTAGCTTATACAATGAATGTAATGATAGGTCGGCTGTTTGAGCAAGGTTCACGTTCAGTTTCACACTTGAATAAAAATGAGTTTTAATCTCCTTAATGTTCAAATTCTAAAACTTTGTCATAAGTTTCTCTAGCTAGTGGGATTGACTTCAAGATATATCATACTATATGTCATTTTCACCTTCATACCAAGAATGATATCTACTCCTAACTGTTTAATCTTCAAGTTCAAAGATATGTATTTCATTTACTTAGAAATACCATATAGCTCAGTTCTAATGATCAACGTATCATTGACATAAAGTAATGATTGTGTATTCGGTCATGCATTTGGTATAAAACTATAAATATACATGTATAATGATTTAATAAGTCTACATACTTTGTTCATGTTTGGGTATCACAAACCATTTTGGTTCCTCTAAATAAGTCTCCTCATTTAGATATCAAATTAGAAAGCACGTCTTCACATCCGTTTGATGAATCTACAATCCTTTCACGTATAAGATTGTTATACTATTTCCAATAAAACTAATTCTAGCAACCATAGAATAGGTATCGAAGTAGTCGATACCTTCTCTTTGCACGTATCCTTTATCAATTTATTTTTCTCTATAGGAAGATATGGATCCATCTAGATGACACTTTCTTTTGAAAATCCATTTGGATTCTATTATGTTCTTTACCTTGGACATAACAAATAACTCCTAAGTTCCATTACCCATAATTGAATCTATTTCATCATTGATAGCTTCCTCCTAAAAAGGATCATCCTTAGAAGACACGTTTGCAATAAAGGTCTTCGGATCCTAATCCCAGATAATGGAGAAATGACTAATATCTTTACTTTCTTTTGAGACCCTTAAACTAATTAAGAGATATTTTTCCTCCTGGATTCTCCTATTTCCTAACCCTTGTCCTTCTCATTGGTTCTTTTATAAAAGATTGGATGATAAGTACTTAGAGTTGTTATGGAGTTTAAATTTTCATCATCTTTTGAAAACTTGTCGTCGAAGAATTTCACATGTTTGGGCTCTACAACAACACTTGATTTAGTATCAAACAATTGTTGGACTTTGATGTTATGATCATATCCAATGATTCTCTTAATAGCTCGAGCTCCCAATTTCGATCATTTTGGATCAAGTTTACAATAGTAGGCAACATACCCCCACACTCTCATATAGTCCATGTTTGGTTTTCATCCTTTTCGACTAGGGTCTGGTTATTTCATCCAAACCATTATGTTAGAGAATAAAAAGTGAAGTGTATTCATGTTTGAAACCATTATATCTTTAGATTGTGTCAAACTATCGATTGAAATATCCTCTGTATTTGTCTGAGCGAAGGATTTTTACGTGTTCCTCATGCCTGATTTTTCTACCTCGACCTTATAGAGTTTATATGCATGAAAAGTTTCATCTTTAGATCGCAACAAATAAATGTAAATAACAGCCTGAGTCTTCAAAATTGTAAAGACATACCACTTTCATTCTTGAGTAAGTAATGCATTTGGTTAACATATAACCAAATGGATCAACTCTAGCAAACTAGTAACACGTTTTACCCATGGAAATTGTTTATTTGTAAACTTCTATCTATTTTACACAAGTTTTAAATTTATCAAATTCTTTATCATTCAATTTAATCATAATATTAGTTTGCATTTTTTTTTCATATTTGTAATATTTATCTGTGCTAAAAGGTTGTGACTAAAGAAATATAAAAGGATATAGAATAAGAAAAACATAATTTCATTAAAATAAAAAACGGTGTCAGCATTTCCTTTAAAATAAGAAACATCGGTACTCTCATTATATCTAGAAATACCCTTGTTATCATTAATATCAGTATCGTCAATAGAAAAATCATGCCCATATCCTCCATGACCTTAAGCTCTTTCATCTAAAGCAAGCTGATATATTACATATGTGATTCTTTCTTAAACAACAAATGGGTTGTTTTTAGTGAACTTTTCATAAACATTCTCGATCACAAGCTTGTACCCATTCTTGTCAAAGTTATCTACCGACACCCATCCCTTTAAAATCCCAAAAACATTATGCAACATATATTATAGGATGAGTATGCGACTATACATGAAGTTTTGTTGTGGCATGCCAATGCTAAACCCTTATTTCATGGCCATTCGCAAATATCACCAATGTCCCTTCTTAAATGGTATCATAAGTCTAGAATTCTGGCTCGCTTCCTTAGACATGCATAGTAGCACTTGAAGATATGGATAAACCTACGGCTTCCACCGCCCGCATACAATAGGAGATCATGTCGACTCTTCCAATACCCATGTTCTCCATTAAGTGGGCGATCTCTCAACTTCTTTTGTGGAGCTATGTGTAAGACAATATTTTTACATGGGAACTATCGTGCATAACATTAGTAGAAAAACTTGTGCACAGAAGTGTTTGGAGAGTTAGAAGTGTCCACTACCTTCAAGAAGTGGAAAGTTTTTGTGAAGAATGAAACATATCTCCTAGTGAAGTACCAAAAGTCATAGAATGGGAGTAAGTATAGTAGTAGAGAGTTTGTTGATTACTTCACAGAGTAGGTTATTTGCATGTTGATGACGGTTCCTGAGACTCTGTAACATAATGGTATTGCAAAGAGGATGAAAAAACTCTAACTAAAAGGGAAAAAAGCATGAGATTACAAGCATGGCTCTCAAAGATGTTTTCAGAAAATGCACTCAATATCACATCATATCAAATAGACAAAGAACCCTCTGCCCCCCATTGGGTTTAAAATCCTAGAAGACAAATGGAAGGATTGAGAAGTTACTCTCACACACTTAATAGTTTTCGAATGTGTTTCATTGACAAAATAAAAGACATCAAAAGAAACAAGTTAAAAGCAAATGCGAAGAAGTGATTCTTTATTGGCTACAGGTTGGATGACATAGGATAATGTTTTTATGATAACAACAGTAACAAGATTATCTGCAGTTGGGAAGTGACATTCAATGAGCAAGCATTATATAAAGATGGTCTAGTTGTTTCTTCATGTTAAAGAAGGAAATCCGAAGTAGGAACCAAGTGTTGTTTGCAGAGACTTTAGATGAAGACATTGTTAAGCCTCCGAATAAGGCAAAAATAGGAAGATGATATAGAAGAAGTGGGATCTTATAAAAGGAGGAGGAATATAAATTGAGTGGGAGAGGTGAAGAATAGATAGTTGCATATAGTGAATCCATAGTCTTAGAGTCAATAGCTACAAAATATGTAGCCTTTAGAGGATTCTATAGATCAACTCGTATAAGCATACCTCTAGTGAGATATCCCTCATCAACAAACTTGTTATTAGTAACAGAAAATAGGAAGCCAGAGACTTACTCATAATCCTTGAGGATGAAGAGTTCCATATAGTGGAAGAATGATATTGAAGATTAGTTGCATTTGTTTGAGAAGAACAAGACTTGGTCTCTTCTCAAGTTACCACCAAAGAATAAGGCACTATAGAATAAGTGAGTATTCAGGGTGAAGGACGAAGCAGATTGAAGCAAGATATACAAGACCGAATTGATGGTCAAGGGATTCCAATAAAAGGAGGGGGTTGATTACACCATATATTATCTCCATTTGTAAAAATTAACACAACCAATATGGTCCTTTGTATCGTGGCTTCACAAGATTTACATCTTGAGAAATTAGATGTGAAGAATACTTTTGCTTCATGGTGACCTTGATGAAGATATCTACATAGCATAGCCATAACATTTTCAAACTGCTAAGAAGGAAAACCTAGTGTGTAAACTAAACAAAATCCTATATATGATAGAGAAAAGCTCCAAGGCATTATTGGTACTTGAAGTTTGATGACTTCATTAGAAGGAATAGGTATAGAATAAGTGATAGCGGTCACTATTGCTACTATCATCCTCTTGCTTTATATTAATGATATGTTGGTTGTGAGGTTCGACATAAAGAAAATAAATAAGTTAAAGCGACATATGTCTAGAGAGTTCAACATAAAGGACCTAGGGGT